TGGCCTCTGGGAGGCTATTTCTATTCAGCGCTAGTCCTCTTTTGGAGTTCCCTCTGTTATCTATCTGGGTCATGTAATCTCTGGAGATGGACTAGCCCCTGAAGCAGCCAAAGTTGTTGCTATTCAGGACTGGCCACAAYCCCAGACAGTGAGAGATSTCCGGTCATTCTTGGGTCTGGCCTCCTACTACAGAAAGTTCGTCAGGAACTTTTCTGCAGTGGCTGCACCCCTGACTAACCTTACAAAGAAAGACACTCCCTTTCTTTGGTCTCTCCACTGTCAGATGGCCTTTGCACGACTCAAACAGGCCTTGACTCGTGCACCTGTTCTGAAGTTGCCTRACCCCACTTTGCCATTTGTTCTCACTACTGACGCCAGTCAGTATGGCATTAGGGCAGTCCTTCAGCAGGATGATGGTAATGGTCTGAGACCTGTCGAGTTTATGAGTAAGAAGATCAAGACTCAGAAGCTTCAGGACTCTACCTACGAGAAAGAGCTTTATGCTCTTGTCAGTGCCCTGAAACATTGGAAGCACTTTCTCCTGGGCAGGCACTTCAAGATCTTTTCTGATCATTCCACCCTGCAGTGGTTGAAGTCCCAGGGAGAGTTGAATGATAAGTTGGCACGCTACATTCMGTTCATTGATTTGTTTGACTTTGAACTGAAACACAAGAAGGGCTGCTACAATAAGGTAGCAGACGCCCTCTCTCGTAGGCCTGACTCTTTTGCGCTGGTCTCCTCTACTCACTCCTTTGGAGAGGAGGTCTGTCAGACCATTGCTCGATTACTGCCTCAGAATCCGACTTATGGACCCATCGTCAGGAATCTGCAAGCAGATCCTAATTCTGAACGTGGCTATGCCAAGAGTCCGGACCTGCTGTACACCTACAGCAGAGGAGAGGAGCGCTTGTGCATCCCTGAGGATCAGCAACTGAGAACACTGCTGATGTCAGAGCGCCACGATGCGCGTGGACACTTTGGGTTCTTGAAGTCGTATGTAGCCCTGCTGCAACGCTTCTTCTGGAAGGAGATGCGGAGTGATATGCTGCGCTATGTGGACACCTGTGAGCTTTGCCAAAGGAACAAGGTCCAGCGTAAACCTCCTTTGGGATTGCTCAAACCTCTGCTCATACCTGATGGTCCTGCCCAGTCTGTATCTATTGATTTCATAGACTTAGGCAAGACCACCCCTCGTGGCATGCGTCAGGTAATGGTCTGCGTGGACAGGTTCTCCAAATACGCAGAGTTTATCCCCTTGCCAGAGGTAGCCAGGGTACCGGCTGTGAGAGCAGCCTTTTCTGAGAGGTGGGTCACACACCATGGACCGCCCACTTCTATTGTGAG